ATGTATACCCCCCTGACCCTCCTCAACACCCCCCCAGTTTTGTGAACTATGGTGCCATACACCTTCACCCTCACAGTGTCACCCCACATTGGCCCTGACATCCCTCCCCTTTGTAAATTTGAACACTCCCTCCCCCCTACTTTCAATTCCTGGGGAGGCTACTGGTCCTTTTGTAAATTTGAACACCCCCTACCCCCTACTTTCAATTCCTTGGGACCCTCCTCAACACCCCCCCAGTTTTGTGAACTATGGTGCCATACACCTTCACCCTCACAGTGTCACCCCACATTGGCCCTGACATCCCTCCCCTTTGTAAATTTGAACACTCCCTCCCCCCTACTTTCAATTCCTGGGGAGGCTACTGGTCCTTTTGTAAATTTGAACACCCCCTACCCCCTACTTTCAATTCCTTGGGAGGCTACTGGTCCCTGCCTGCCTTCTGTCTGAGAAAAACAGAAAATACCGGACATTTTACATGTCCAGTATTTTCAGGGTTTTTTTTACTGGACAGAAGACACAATTACCAGATTGTCCGGCCAAAAACCAGACACCTGGCAACCCTACTAGTCAAGTCAAAGAAAGAGTCTCAGCTTTTAACTTGTTTTATTTCTTTGACTCTGCTGTGACATGCCACACTCTTAAGGGTATATCATCAGCATAATGCAGGAAGAAATGGGAGTTTACATGCTAATCCTCACTAAAACTAATGAGATTCATGCATGGTAAATCCCTGTGCGGTAAAATGAAAATATGTCCTTTGTTACATAAACAAGGTTTGTTGAAATAAACACAGTGAATAACACAAATAAAATTAAGATAACTTTTGCATGACATATTAGAACTTAGAGATAGAAAAGATCTATCGCCATTTATCTAATCTCACTGTTAATTCTAGAACTCTTCCCTACATTGTGTATCTAGAAAAGTACTGTCCTGTGCAGTGGCTCTAAGATTCCCTGTTTAGACAACACTGTGCTTATGGGAGGGATCTTGGAAGAACCACAGTATCTGGAGGAATGGCAACCTTGCAACCTCCCACTTTGCCTCCTGACAGAAAGATTTTTGGCTGGAACCTCAGCACATTTTCCTCCTCTCTCCTCTTGCCATTCCCCTTTTTTCCCTCAGAAATCAAAAAATGTGATCTACTGAGATCTATTAGGTTATAAAAAGTAGTGATGGTGGTGTCTCTTGGGACATGTACAGCTGCAGAGAATAACTCTTTAGGGGTCCCTGGCAAGACAGCGCCCAGCTCACATAGCTGGAATACCAATGAATCACAATGTTGAAAACTACACAATCATAAAGTAACTGTCATACTAAATAACTGTTAAATTAAAGAGATAGTATAAATAACTGCTGATATATAGCAAATAATATGCAACATTGTCCCAGCTTCAGCCCATGCATTCCACACTGGGCCAAGTTCTACCCTCCATTATACCCATGCAATCTCAGGAATCTATTTTTATCATTATAAAGCATTCAGGTATAGTCAAACAATCATATTGCTCATAATGTAAACCTCCATAATACCTTGAATAAGTTGGACGCTTAGCACTAGATCTGTAAAAACAGTCCACTCATTTATAAAAGCAGCAATTGAACTATAAAAGAAATGGGACAATATATCTAGGCCAAATTTCTTGCATGTCGGCACAGTGAGGGCATGCCTACACTAAAGGGTTATTTCAAAATAACTAATGTTATTTTGAAATAAGAAGGTACGCGTCTACACAGCAAGCCCTTAAAGCTACAGCCACATGGGAAAGGGCTTGTGGCACCAGGAAAGCCCTGCTAACCCTGTGCCACACACCAGCAGCCTTCACAGCTTTTGCTGCCACCATAAGTGACTCCCGTGCTACCACTGAGCCCTCCATGGCTGCAAGGGAGCTGGCAGCCCTCTCCCAAGCTCCTGCCCAGGAGCAAAAGAAGAGGTCCCCTTCCTGGTCTGGTGCAGAGATCCTGGATCTCATTGAGGTCTGGGGAGAGGAGACAAACCTCCAGGATCTCCACACCAGACACAGGAATGCAGACATTTATGGCCAGATGGCTGACAGCCTAGGTCAGAAGGGACACATGCACCCAGGAATAGGCGTGAATGTAGGTCAAGGAGCTGAGGTCAGGGAGTGCAGCTCCCACTAAGGGGTGGTACCCCAGACCTGCCCCTATTTTGACCAGCTCCAACACATCCTGAGAGGGGGGCAGTCCCTTCCCCTGCCCCTTGTTGTGGACTCTGGATGGAGATGCCCATTGTCAGCCTCTCAGAAGGCATAGCTGTGGATGAAGAGCAGGAAGTGCAGGAGGAGGAGGAGGAGGACAAGGATACAATGGGGCTCAGGAATGGGTCTGGGCCTGGATACAATGACTGTCAGCCAGGTCAGCCTGGCCCTGGAGCCGATATCACCCTACCAGGATGTCACCCAGGGATTGGAAAAGCCAAGGAAGGCCCATCAGGTGAGTTTCATTACTTTCCCTAGTCACACACCGGGGGAGAGGAGGAGCAGTCCTAGGCTCCCACCTGGGACCTCTGTGCCCCTGCAGAAAGGTCTCAGCCTCAGATGGCCTTGCTCAAAGCACATTGCCTTCATCTGAACCAAGACCTTCCAATGTTGGCTTAGAGATGAGGGCTAGGCTTCATGCACTCTGTCTCCTGGGATGACTGACCTTCTCTTTGTTCTTTACAGCTAGACCAGCTGTGAGTGGGGCACAAGCCACATCTCCTGTGCCAGCCTCCCAACCCTGCAAGACCCACAGGCACCGCCAACCCCACAAGGACCTCGAGCAGGAACACATATCCAGCCTGTTCCCTACAATGGTCTCTGGAGCAGCAGGACCATAGGTTGGATGCGGACCTGGAGGAGCACCACTCCACCTGGCAGGAACAGTTCCAGGAGGCAGGAGCAGGGCCCTTCCCAACTCCCCTCCCTGAATCCACTGCCGCTCCCACTTTTGCTCCTCTGGTTTCTCTCCCTAGCCCCCCCATGATTGCCAAGGGTCCCACACAAGAGGCAGTGGGACCACCTGAGGCAGGCACCAGGCCCAGACCCTGCCCCAAGAGGCAGTGGGACCACCTGAGGCAGGCACCAGGCCCAGACCCATCCCTGAGCCCCACCTTTCCCCTCCTGCCTCCTCCCCACTCCCCAGGTTCTTACCCCAGTCCCTCCCCAGTTATATTTACCCCAATTAAAAATTACAGAGTTTATTGTTCCAAAACAAAATGTGTTGTTTATTTTTTCAGGAGGAGGGGAGAGGAAGGGGGGAAAGAAGGGCAGGGGAAGGAAGGGGTAGAGAAGGAAAGACACACTGGGGCACTGCAGAGGCTCCTGGTGGGGAGGTCCCTGATGGGCCAGCTGGATGCTGAATGTCCTTGTGAGCTGCTCGGCCTCTGCCCCTGACTCCTGGCAGGAACTTCTCCCTCTTATTTTCACAAATATTGTGGAGGACATACCCCCACCAGTTGGGGAAGGTTCTGCTTGCCGAGGTCCAGGCAGGTAAGAAGATAGTGGAACGTCCCTCTGAGACGGCAGAAGGCGCCCTTCACCATGATGCAGGCCCTGCTCAGCCTGCTGTTGAAATGCTCTTTCATGGGGTCCAGGTGTCCCATGTAGGGCTTCATCAACCAGGGGAACAACAGGTAGGTTGCATCCCCCATGATGCAGATGGGCATGTCCACATCCCCTACCCTGATGGTGCAGTCGGGGAAACGCGTGCTGGTGTATAGCTTCTGGTAAAGGCTGGAGTTGAGGAATATGCGGGCGTGGGGCACCTTCCCCTACCATCTGACATTGATGTTCATGAACCAGCCTCAGTGGTCCACGAGGGCTTGCAGCACAATTGAAAAGTACCCTTTCTGGTTGATATAATCGGAGGTGCGGTGGTCGGGGGCCCAGATGGAGATATGGGTGCCATCAGTGGCCCCCTTGCAGTTGAGGAATCCCATAGCGGCAAAGCTGGCGATGGTGGGATCTATGTCGCCCAGGATGACGACCCTGAACAGCAGGACGGTGTTGATGGCCCGCACCACCTGTAGAAGGAAACAAATAGAGAATCACAGGGTTGCCAGAGCCCTCAAGAGGTCCCTGAGTCCAACCTCCCTTCCCCACACCAGGACTTACCCCATCCCCTGGCAGAACTTTTAAAGGTAGGACTGAGAAACCTTCCAGGGAGGGAGTTTCCACCACCAACAACCCCATTCCAGCAGTTTCCCACCTTCCTAGGACAATCATAAGAGATCATACCTGCATGCGCACAGCCCTGATGGTCGATCTCCCCATGACAAACTGGTTCCTGATGGAGGAGTAACTGTCCGGTGTGGCAAGCTTCCAAAGTGCAATGGTGACCCACTTCTGGAGGGGGATGGCAGGTCTCATGTAAGGATGTGAACGACTAGTCGACTATCAGATAAGCAAATACTTAATGGATAGTCGACACACGAGTCAACTAGTCACTCCCCCCTCCCCTTGCTGCCTTTATCAGAAAGAGACAGCAAGACGGGGAGGGAAGTGGAAGGGGTGCTACAAAGCAACAGTGCTACATGGAGCCTGGGGCTAGACCCTGGGCTCCACACGGTGCTGCCACTTTGAAATGCAGTGTACAGCCCAGTGCCAGCTGGGGACTCCGCCGCTGACCCCGAGCACCATGCGGCACTACTGCTTTCAAATACCACATGGAGTCTGACGTCTAGGTAGAGCACTGACACTTTGAAATGCCATAGAGAGCATGGGGCCAGCGAGCGACTGCTTGAGTCCCCCACTGGCCCTGTGCTCCCCACAGTACTTTTGCCTTTGAAGTGTAGCAACAGCCTTGGGGATGTTGCTACACTTTAAAGGCGGAGACACCCTTATCAACTAATCGAATAGGCAATGCAAATTGCAGCGACTATTTGATTAGCCAATCAATCTAAATTTAACATCCCTGGTCTCATATGGGTGACCCCTTGCCTGAGAACAGGGGTGAGCCACTCGCAAGGCTCCTTGAAGGTGTCCTTCTACATGTTGAAATTCTGGAGCCACTGCTAGTCATCCCACTGCTCCATAACGATGAGGTCCCACCAATCAGATATGGAGTTTCATCACCAAAAGCAGCGGTGCACAGTGTGCAAGCAATGCAGGAGGGGCTGTGCTGTATGAGCAGCACATGGAGAGAAGAGAAGAGGTGCAACACAGGAAGCAGCAGGTTCCTGTTCCTGAAGTGCCATGTGGGCAGCCTGTAGTAACTGTACCAGGAGGTGCAGCATAAGGTCTAAAAGCCAGCGCACGCTTTGCAGCAGGTTCAGCTCTATGGTTGGAGTGCTGTGGAATCCACAAGGGCAACCAGAGCATGCAGCGAGATGAGTTTGCTGTCCCTCAAGGAGGTAGTCAAAGGTGAAGAGTCTGCCTCATGACTGTACATGAGGGTTCCTTTAAGCACGAGCCTCAGCTAGCCCCAGGCAAAAGCTATAGGAAGTGACTGCTGTCCTGATGCCCTGCCCCAAGTGCTTCTAGGGAGGCCTTAAATGCAATTCAGCCTCCAAACAGTGTGGACACGCTATTTCAAAATAGATCTGTGCTATTTTGATGGGCATTTGTAGTGTAGATGTGCTATTTCGAAATAAGCTAGTGCAGAGTTTTTATTCCGAAATAGCTTATTTTGGAATAAGTGCGTAGTGTAGACATATTCTGAGAGGATCTCGCAACCTGCGCTATAGCCCAAGCCCAAAATTTTGTACTGCAATTAAACATCTAGGGCTCCTGTGAGCATGAGTAAGCTCGCAAAAGACTATGGGTTTTTAATTGCAGTGTAGACATACTTAATATGCTGTCAAGCATACACAGCAAACAAACTCAGAAAACTGCAAAATATTTTTTCAGTATTTTTCATTGATAGTAATCATTTAGGTCCCAAACCCACAAATACTTTTACACGTATGCTTAATTTTACTACCACTGATTACAATAGTAAAGCTAAGCATGTGTGTGGTTGTAGAATCAGGGCTTTAAGTGTTACTCATACTCAAAGTAGGTTAAAAATTCATTTTAGCTAGGGATGTTCCTCTAAAGTAAATGAAATTAAAATACCTTATCTTATTTATAGAAATTGTCTAGAGTATATCATTTTGTTTCTTTATTATTAAGTGCTGAAAATAGGTAGAGCATTATACAAGCTGAACTCATTCCTGCAGAATTTACAATCTATAACCCTGCTCACACAAACACTCAGGCAAAGCAAATGACTAACTTGACTAGTCCCACTGAAACTGCTTTGATAGTAAGCACAATTGTGTTTGCCAGATCAGTGCTGAAGGCAAAAAAGTTATTTGACACACTGAGTAATTTCACTGATACCAACGGATCACTTGCAGCATAAAAAGTTATACAAGGGAATACGCCTTTGTAGAATCAGGCTTACAGCAAATACTTTAGCATGTATGGCATGCATGATTCATGAATAATCAATCCCTTTGGCTTCAACGGGGGTGCTCACATAGGTAAAGTAATGCACATTCATATTTACAGGATAGGAAGTTTAAGGAAGAAACAGAGGAGTAGTTTATTCTAAGTGCTGTAGGTAAAGTGATTATTTGAGAGTGGCTGTGTGTGAGCTAGTCAAAGAGAGGGTGGAGTGATGACAGAATGCCTTTATGCAGCTTTACAAGCAATATGAAAAGACTGGGGAGTTGGCAGAAGTGGCATCAGTTATGTCTGGGGTTCTTTTATGGGGTCATTTCACACCAGCTAAAAGCTGTGGCATATAGAACCACAAACAAGGAATTCACTGGTCTTTCTCACTAGATTTAACAGCGACGAGGAGTCCTGTGGCACCTTATAGACTAACTGAAGTGTAGGAGCATAAGCTTTCGTGGGCAAAGACCCACTTCGTCAGATGACATGCATCTGACGAAGTGGGTCTTTGCCCACGAAAGCTTATGCTCCTACACTTCAGTTAGTCTATAAGGTGCCACAGGACTCCTCGTCGCTTTTGCAGATTCAGACTAACACGGCTACCCCTCTGACAGATTTAACAGGTTTCTTAGCACGATAACAGCCTCCTGGATGTATGCGGAAGGGAGAGCAAAGTAGCACTTGAACAGAGGCGAACAGTGTCTGGCAGTTTTCGGTAGGGTTGGGAGAGGAAAGGAGATGTGGAGACCCCTAGAGAATCAGGGATGCAATCCGCATTCTGGAGCAGGCGTTGGTGGGGGCCTGGAAGGGGGAGAGATTGGGGGCGGTGGCAATTCCTGAAATGAACTTAACCCGGTTCTACCAAGCCCCGCGTACCTGAACGTGGCAAACGAGGAGGCAGGAGCTGACCTCAGCCTGCAAGCGCCTCTCCCACCGTCCGCTCCCGCCGAGCAACTCGCCTCGCTGCGCCGCCCGGTTCCAAAAGCGCTGCCGGGCTGTTGCTAAGGACGCAGTTAGGTTGGCGCCCAGCCCATTGTGACGTGAGAGGAGACACTTCCGTGAGTGTAGGACTTCAAAGTTCCAGCACCCTGCTGGCCAGGACAGCGCTGCAGGGCGGTTCTCCCCTCCCCTCCCCTCCTTTAAAATAAAATAAAACAAAACTTCGAGGGCGGGGGGGGTGGGACGAACAG